GGAGGAGGAGGGGGTATTGCACTGCGTAGGTCGATCCCTCCTTTGATCGCCGGGGGGTTGCGATGGAAAGGTGTGACCCATATATATAAACACAGTCAAACAGACAAACAAACAGACAGGCAGACAGGTGGTGGCTGCAGCCGTCACCCTCCGGCCACATACAAGGTTCGTGTGTGTAGGTCGGGGTCGTCAAGGCAGGGAGGGAGCTGTAAAGGGCCTTCCATTGCCCCCGTTCTCCCGCCCAACCTCCCACCAGCAGCACCACTACCAGGATAGCATCCACTGCGCCGTACGATCCCATTTCCCTCCGTACTCCTAGTTCCCCCCTCCCCCTCCCTCTCCGCCTCCCCCGCCCTCCGCCACACAGAACCTGGCTCTCGGCCACATCCCCCCGGACCCCAACCCCAGTGACGCCGAGATCGCCGCCGCCGCGCTGTCCGGTCAGCTGCCCGCCCGCCGCGCCCTGCCCGACCTGCAGCCCCTGGCCCCCTGCCTGACCTCCCTCTCGCTCTCCAACAACCGCTTCACTCAGCTGCCCGAGTGGCTGCACCGCCTCACCCGGCTAGAGCATCTGGATGTGGCTTGTGAGTGGGCGGGTTGCGGCTCAGGGAGTCCAGGGGGGCCTGGGGGGGTAGCGAAGGGGGAAGGCGCTGGGCACCACAGCGTGTTTCAGGTCGTAACCCCCACCACCACTTCCTCCCCCCGCCCCCAAACGAACTGGAATTGGGTTTGCTGTGCTGCATGGGTAACGTTGGCCCCTCCCCTCCCCCCCCCGCCTCCTCAGACAACAAATACCTGCAGCTCCGCACCCCCCTCAGCGGCCTGGCCGCCCTCCCGCACATCCGCCTGCTGGACTTTCGGTCTGTCCACGTGGGTAAGGACAAGAGCTACTGGTGCGAGGCGAAGTGCACCACCATGCACCACCTCTCCAAGCTGGCCAAGGCGCTCAAGAGGAGGAGCCCGCAACCCAGACTGCTCATTGACATTTGAGGCGGAGAGGGATGGGGGGACGAGGGGTGAAGGCGGGAAGGACAACGGGACATGGGGGGTCTGGGGGTTGCACAACGGGCAAGGAGTAGAGTGAGGGAGGGAGAGAGTGTCACCGCTGAGGAGGAGGAGGAGGAGGAGGAGGAGGGGTGGCTCCGGATGCCGCCATGGACCATAGGTGTGCTTTGTTTGTAGAGACATACAGACAGACTCGCGAAGATAGGCTGCATCTACTACTGAATGATGAATAATAATATAATAGAAATAGTACAAGTCATCCTGGTTGTACGTACAAACATACACAAACACAGCTGTGGCTGCATTTGTCGGTGTGGTGGCTACCAGCACGGGTGCTGGTGTCGGTTGTCGGTTGGGCGTCGGCTGTAGTACAGATCGGTTAATGATCTCGAATGGCGAACTGGCGATAGCGGTAGGTGGACTCCTCCTGGACTCTCTCTCTCTGAGGAGGAGGCGGAGGAGGCGGAGGCGGAGGCCCTGACTGACCGGGGCGTCCCCCGCCCGACCCGTCCCCCTGACTCACTTCTTGGGCGCCCCCGGGCGGTGTTGATGCCGCCCCGCGCCGTTCCGTCCCGAGAGGAGTGAAGTGCGGAAACCGTTGGAGCGAGTGAGGCTACCTGCCTACCGCTACCTGCCTACCTGCCAGCAGCCAGGCGGTGTGGGCCGCAAAGGTGGAGGAGGGGGGAAAGAGCATTTACCCGGCATTTCCTAGGCCCCCTCCCGCCTGAAGCTGAGCTGGGCAGGATGGGGGGAAGAGGGCGAGGACACGGCTCACTACCGAGCAAGGTGGTGGTGCCGGTGGTTATCCGGTGTGGTGGACCCACATTTAATTTAATTTTCATGGGGGTAGTAGTGTAGTATTCGTATGTACGGATGGGTAGCTGGTAGTTGGTGGCTAGGGTCCACCTATTCCTGGGCTCGAGCTGACATCCTAGGATGTCGGGCAGTGGAGGAGCGGCCGTGGGGATGTCCGGTGCGGTCGACAGCAAGTCCCCGGGTCAGAGGGGAGGGTGCGATGGCGCGCCCTGCCCTGCCCTGCCCTGCCCTGCCCTGCCAGCTGCTGCTGATCAGATCAGCTGCTACATATCGCCGCGGGTGGCCTTGCGGAGGCAGAACCCCCTCCCCCTCTCTAGAGCGCGGTAGGTAGGGGACCCGAGGTGGGCAGGTCGCGGTCATGTGACCGCCCAGTGCGATAACATGGCGCCCAACACCGCCACCACCCGGCGGAGCCGTTACACCTGAAATAAAAAAGCGAATGCACATCTGCATGTCGTACAATCGGGCACAGCCGGGGAACCCACCGCGAGGCTTATTGCGGTGGTGGGTGGGTATGCGGGGGGATGGGGGTGGGTGTGAATGTGTATGTGTGTTGGTAGGAGGTATTACGATGTGTGATCGATCGCGTTTGAATGGACTGCGAGCCGCGAGAAGTTCGTACATACATACACACATACAGCAGTAGAATTTGAAGAAGTAACACACATTGCAGATTTTTGCCCGAATGGACAAATAGTACTTCCGGAGCTGTCATATATTCCCTTGAAGGCGCAGGTAGGGGAAAGGGAGAAGGACGGCAGAGCGAGTAGAAGTAGCCGCTAGTCGCTGTAGTGGTGCTATGGACGACTACTAACTACCGGTGGTGGCGGGTGGCGGCGACTGCCTCGCTAGAGATTGCGGACGGAAGAGGCAAAGGAGGACAAATTCGGGCACTCAGTGGGCTTTTGGCTCCGGGACCGCAGCCGGAACCCCTGACCTCCCTCCGTCGCGCTGTGTAGTCGGGCACAGCCCAACAGAGGCAGCCACCACCAATGATAAGGGGCAGCCCTAAGCACCCTGGAGCTCCTCACTTGTCATCGGCGTGGGCTGGGTGGCTTCGTAGTGCGCGCTCAAAGGCAACGTTACTACGCGGCGTGTAGAAGTCAACATTCAGTTCGGTGCGGCGAGGCTTCAGGGGGTTATGGGGGGGGCAGCCTACGTCCCCGGGGCTACAGACAGGTGGGCAGGTGCTGTGTCTGTTCGCCGCTGATGCTCAAGTTGTCGTTTGGAGGACAGTTTTTGTGCGAGGCGTCTGATGTGATGACCCACGGTTCGGTCACGCCAGGAGACTACTGGTTGCGGCAGTACAGGCACGAAAGCTGACGTGGAGGCAAAAAAGCTGCATGCAACGGCGTGAAGTCGTGCTGCTACGACGCTGTTGAGCAGTAGGGTGTGCAGAGCCGAGAATTCCATGGCTAAAGCAACGTTGGCAGTTTGGAAACGACGATCTCTGGGTTGGGGCCCTAACAACACTGGTCTAACAAGATACAGTCAAGTACACCCGCACCTGCACAATACAATATAAAACCACCACCACTCTCCGCCACCACCACCACCACTCGCAGCCGCAGCACCACGCTACCAAGCCACGATCCCATCAGCTCAGCCACTAGAGAAACCCATCGGTGCACTGACTACTGTACATGGTGTCTGGACAGTGAAGTGGGGCTGCCCGGGCCCCACAGCGGCCAACGGTGAGATCTGTCCAGCTGGGATTGCGATGCAGCGCACCACGCCCGCAACCCCACCCGAACGCTGCGGGCCACTCAAGTCGCGACCAAATGTTTGAGTCATCATGGAATACGATTAATATACGATTACCCGCCCCAACCCCGGGTGCCCTCCTTCCCAACACACGAACGGGCCACCCGGTGGGGGTAGGTGGTAGGTAGGTGGTAGGTGGGTGGTAGGTGGGTGGTAGGTGGGTGGGTGGGTGGGTGGGTGGGTGGGTGGGTGGGTGGACGGAACGGCGCAGGCGCGGAACACCACCGGTGGTGTTGGTGGTGTTGGTGGTGGTTATGTCCCGCAACCACACAGCACGGGAACCTGCACTGCTGGGTGGTGAGGGTGCTGCGGGTCCCGAGGGCCCCTCCCCGTTGCGTCGTCACCCGCGCTCACCCGCTCCGCTCCTCCGTAAGAGCCGCAGCGGAGCGCGCTGCTGGGGGGGAAACACGTCGTCACTCCCCGTGGGCGCTTGGCTGCTCTGGCGCCTTGAACCTCTGCGCCTGTCCGCCCTCGGAACAGCCGAGGGCACCTCGCCTCCGTCTTGCCCACCACCACCGGCTTCTTCCCCAGCGGTTGCGCCTTCCGCACCGAAATTCTGCCGCCTCCATCTTCCCTTTTTCCCTGTCCCGCGCTCTGCTAGCTGCAGACCCCTCATGGCGGCTAAGACCTTTGTGTGGTCCGCCGAGGCGCCCCTGTCCTCCGTGAGGAGGGAGTCTTGCGGCCCCTGCCCCTCAGCTCCCTCAGCCACCTGAGGCCCCGGAGGACCACCTCCCCCACTCCGCAGCGGCCGTTGATCCTCGACGGAGCACCCGGAGCCGCCACCAGCAGCCGCCGCCGCCGCCGCTGCCGCTGCAGCTGCTGCTGCCACCGCTGCCGCGGCCGTGACCACTGATGCATGTTCTGCCTCCCGGCCGCTGTTGCTGGCAGCACCACCCCGCACCCCACCCCCCGCGTCTGGAGCCCTTCGCCGCAATGCAGCCGATGCGGCTGATGAAGCTCCGTCCGCCGGGGACCGCCCCGAAGCCGCTCTCCCCGCGGACCCAGCTCCCGGCTCTGGGCCTGAGCCGGGTCCACTGGAGAGCTTCCCCGTGTTCGGGGGGCGCAGTGCTTTCCCTAGGGTCGCCTTCGCAGCGGCCGTCAGCCGGGCGCGCGATTGCTCGGGCGGTGGTGGTGGCGGGTGCTGTGATTGTCGGGATGATGGAGCTGGTGGCGGTGGCGCAGTGGTCCGCGCTGGCAAGGGTGAGGGGTCTTCGGAGCTCCCTTCGGCCGTGGAACGCCGTTGCTTGCGCGGCGGCGGCGGCTGTGGTGGCTGTGGCTGTGTTGGGGCCCGCCCAGCCGCTGGTGCCTGCTGGCGGCAAAGCAAGGTGGTGCGACGGGGGGTCATGGGGATTGACTCCCAAGCGCTCCAGCGCGCACCCAGCCAAGCGCGCGCCTTGTGCTGCGCAATGAATCATGGTATATGTGTATATGTGTGTGTGAAGGTTACAAGTATGTGACCGGACTTGGCACTGGCCCGGGGCTGCTGCCCAGCCCCAACGGAAAGACCGCCTAAGCTCTCTCCCGCGGACGGGAGAGGGCCGCGAGGGGCCTCTGCCCCCTCCTAAGCAGCCCAGAGCCGCAGGTCGGCTAGTTCTCCTCTCCTCCCCCCGGGACGTCGCACGCTCTCCAGCCTGTGGTCTGTGTGTGCCGCATCGCGCTGCCTACTACTGCTTACTGGGGTGCAACAGGCTCATACCTACCTGCCTACCTACCTACCTACCTGGGAGCCCTGAGGGGACCCGAAGGGCTAAACAACCGTTCCTGACAGACGACTCCGGCCGACCCTTTGAACCATGGTAATCCAGAAAGACATGGCCCCCCGCGGCCGCACCAGCTCCTAGCCAGGTCACTCGCGTGTGCGATGGAGATGAACGAAGGAGGAGGTCACTTTCTGAGGGGAGTGGCCCACCACCCACCACCCACCCCCCGCACACCTGCTTGCCGCCCAGGGCCCCGTTGACCGCAGCAGCAGCAGCAGCAGCAGCAGCAGCGACAGCAGCAGCAGCCTGCTCGCCTCCATCAGATTGCTCCGCTGCTGCCTGCTGCTGCTGCTGCTGCTGCTGGTCCCCAGACGTCTCACGGCCCGCCATGGCAGCGCTCCGGGCCTTCTCCGCCGCTTCCTTGGCCTTCTTCGCCGCGCGCCTCTCTAAGTCCCTGGCTTTCTTAGCAGCCTTCCGTGCCGCCGCAGCCGCCGCAGCCGCCGCCGCCGCCGCCTCCTCCTCCTACGCGGTGGGCCTCGCGGGCGGGTGGTTACAGCAGTGGTGCAGTCGCCGCCACCCCGCCCTCATCGACCACGTACACAAAACAAAGGGTCCCCTCCAAAGCAGGCTGTAGCAGTCCTTAGCGGCCATTGCGGCACATACCACACCGCCATGCAGCCAGTCCAGTCCCGTAGCGTACCTCGGGTGTGCCGTACTTGGCCTCTCTGTGTGCCGGGATGCCGCCACGTCGCTTGAACGAGCCGAATGACATGAACTCGCTGTCCAGGGGGGTCAGGCCCGGGGCGGCAGGACGAGGCACACACGGGCAGACACGTCAGCAGCGGGGTAGTCAGCCGCCGCGTGGTGGGCGACCCAGCCCAGTGCAGTCCCACCCCACCCCACCCCGACCCGACCCGACCCGACCCGACAGCGCACCCAAGCCCCATCCTCCGGCGCCCCGCTCCCTTCCCGCTGCCTCACCCTGCCGCTCCCAACTTCCTGAGCATCGCCTCCTGCACCTCCGCCGCGGGCTGCCCGGCCGCCAGAGCCCCCCGCGCCCACTCGCACAGCCGCGCGCCCAACAGCTGCTCCGCCCTCAGGGGGGCCAGCCGGGTGAGCAGCTCAGTGCCGAACAGGAACACCAACGTGGAGGCCATGGGGGAGGAGGAGGAGGGGGGTGGGGTGGCGCCGACCTGGGCATCGCTGCCGGGGTTGCTGTGGTCCGCGGGGCCTGAGGCGGCGGCGGTTGTTGTTGCTGTTGCTGTTGTTCCCAAGAGAGTGTTCAGGTGCCCCAGGGTGCGCTCAAACACTGAGGTGATGTAGTGTATGGTGCCCGGGTGTGTTTCCTGGGTTCGCAGCAGCAGCCGCAGGGGGGAGGGGAGGGGGAGGAGGGGGAGGGGAGGAGGCAGAGGAAAGGGAAGAGGGCGGGGGTTATTGCTTCAGGTGAAGGAGGGAGGGCCACCTAGGGAGGGTTGCGGCATCAGGGTATCAGTAGCAGTGGCAGTGGCAGTGGCAGGACCCTCCGTGTCGCGCTCCCTCAGTCTCCCCTTCGTGGGAGGTGAGGTGAGGTGGGTGGGGGGATAAATGATGACCCATGCTGCTGCTGATGCTGATGATGATGATTATGATGATGATGATTATAATGATGATGATGATGAAGGTCAACAACCGAAGTGATGACGAGCGAAATAACCGAATTGGACGAGAGGGGGATAGCAGCCCGCGTTCCGCCTCCCGCCCGAAGCATCAAATAAACCGAAGTTGGCCCCTCCATGTATTCACGGAAACCAGCAGCTGCCACCCGCCCTGAGGCCGCCCTGAGGCCGCCCGCGGCGGTTGCAGCGGTTGGCGACGCCCCTCTCACCCATCTCCCTAGCGTCCTGGCGGTGTTGTCCGTGTCGTCGTAGGGGTCCTCCACACACAGCACATACGAGATGGGGAAGGGTCGCGAGGGCAGCATCTTGCCGTAGAAGGCGCTCATGCGCGTGTCCCTGCGGAGCGGCCCACAGGGGGAGGGGGAGGGGGAGGGGGAAAAGAGAGGGAGAGGGGGAAAGATGAACCACGAACGATTCATCTCGTTCGTTGGCAACTGCTGCCAAGGAAAGAGTGTACAAGCAGCAGGACTGACCAGAAGGCGTTCTTGAAGGCGGCGACCTCGGGATGATGTAATGAAGATGATGTCGGAAACCTACCTACCTACCCACCTACCCACCTAGCCGCCAAGACTAAAATAAGAGCGGAATAAGTAAAACGAAGCCGTAAAGAAGTAAAGGTAGGTGTAGAGGCGGCGAAAAAGTAGTGCTGACGTAAGCTGGAAAAAAATATTTGCCGCCAGCCTGGCGGTGGCATTGACGAAATTGGAGCAAAGCTGGCTGATAAGCTGGTGATAAGCTGCTGGTGACATGCAAGTGCTCCTCCCAATCCCCCCAAAAAAACGCGCGACCAACCCGACCGACCCGACTATCCTACTCCGGCTAGCCGACCGACGCCAACGCGATATACACCGACAAAGCTCGAACCTCCCTCGGACTCACCTGGCCAGGCAGCAGAAGCGGCGGGCAGGGAGGGCACATGCGAGGAGGCAGAGAGGTAGCAAGGTAGTGAGCAGGGTGCGACAAAGGAAACAACACATGCGAGCGCCGCTAAAAGGGAGTATTAAGCTGGCGGGCTGGGAGAGGTTGAAGAAGGAATACTAGAAGACCCTAAGACCCTAGGTGAAAGCGGAAGAAAAAACAGGGGCTAAGTAGAGAAGCAAAGGCGGCGCAGGATGACGCAGCAAGTGTCAAACTTGAAAAATGTAATTGAGCACGTCATGGCGGAATTGACGTCATGGTACGTCGCCAAGCAGGGGAAGAAGGTAGGTGTATGGATGGGTGAGGTGGAGAGAACGCAAAACAAAAAGACCAAAAGGGAAGAAACTGTTTGCAGGACAAGAAGCGCGTATTTGTGTGCGGGACGGGGGAAGATGGGGGAAGGGGGGAGGGGCCGCAAGGGGGGGATGCTGTGTTGTCAGACTGGCAGTCCCAGCACGCGGAGCCGCAGACCGCTGCACCACCAGTACGAGTAACCCCCCACCTCGGCCCTGTCTTCTCCGGCCCCCTCCCCCCCACACACCTCTTCCCACACCTCTGCCCACCTCACCCCACCCACTCCCAGCCACCCTCGCCCCCAGCCGAACACAGTCCTAACCCCCCCACACACCCACACCCACACGCACCGCAGAAACACGTTCTCCCGGGCCAGCAGCGACCTCAGCTTGCGAGCCCCGTCCTCCAAAAAGTCCCGGAACAGCTCCTCCAGGGGCTTGCAAGGACGAGTGCCGTACAGCTCCTGAGCGTGCTTGGCGCGGTACTCCATGATGTCGTACACCTGGGTCACCCCAACCCACCCCACATGCGGTTATCCATACACACACACACACGGGCAGCCCCACAGTGAAGCACGCAGCGGCAGCAGCGGCAGCCCCCCGAGTGCGGGACTTCCCACTCCTCCGCACGCATCGACCCCACGAACCCAGCACCGTACAATACACACCCTGGCCACCTCCCCGCCAGGCACACACACACACACACAGACCGACACACACACACACACGCTCCCTAAGCCCACCCCGAAGACGGTGGGAAGGCCGCCCCTGCTACCGCCCCTGCTACCCACCCCGCTAGCCGCAGGCCGCTATTGCTACCTGGAGCGGGAGCTCCCTGCCGCCCTGCATGAGGCGGGGGGTCTCCAGGTCAGGAACCCCCTCGTACAACAGCTCGTACAGCGGTGGCAGCAATGGCGGGTCAGGGTAGGTCTGTAGGAAGGAAATCACCTGAGGGGTACGTTGGGGGGTGATGCGAGGGGGGGGGGGGGAGGAAGGGTTTGCGGTTAACGTGGGTTAATCCGATCAGCACGTCGTACGCGTGACGGCACTGCCTTTACTGCACCCCCTCCTTTGACACACGCGCACATACATACGGACTCCCGGGACTCCAAAACCAATGCAGCGCATCTCACATGCACTGCCCCCTCATCGCCACCCGCGAGAAGCGGCACCCCCGTCCCCCTCCCCTTCCGGGGCGATACGGATTGAACCTCACCACCAGTGTGAGGCACCAGCTGTTGAGCATGTGGGAGGCCCCGTCGTTGATGCAGTGCGCTTTGGCCCAAAGCTTGACCTGCCCAGGATGGGAAGCGGCGGGGGGAAG